TCAGTGTACAATCCAATTTGGTGCATTCATCTCTGTAGTGCTGTTTGGTTGTGCTTCTCACTGGACGCTAGTACCTATTCAGGATGCAGTATATTCTACTGTTGTCAGGTAGCCAAGGGCAGTGCATCATGATGCAGGTTTGTTTTTTTTCTTGACCTTTCAGGTGGAATCCTCTATCCCCAAACTGTGTTTTCTCATGAAAGATGCTTTCTGTACCTGACGAAGCCTTTCTCCTCTCAAGTTTGCTCTTTACTTTTAACTGTTAACAGTTGGCTGACAACCTTCTGGACAATTACTAAGGACTAGCAAATACATTCTCTGACTTAATTGGGATCCCACATCTCTGCTGCTTTATTTTCTTAACCTTCTAACTGGTCTACTGCCTCCAGCCATTCCCCAGCCAAGGTCATCCTGCACACCACTGACATAATTACCTACCTACACATCTCTCCTCATGCTGTTCTCCCACTTAAACTCTTGCAAGTCTCCCATTTCATTTAGCCTAATTTTCATACTTCTTAACACAACACAGTAATTTCCAGTTTTTGTCAGTCTGATTCCTTTCCCTCTATATTTCCATGGCATCTTACTCTTTAACCACTCTGAGATAGTCACTGTTTCAAAACACAGTGCATATTTACTTCCATATTTTCCTAGCTATTACTACATCATATGTATGCTTCTTGTGAGAGAAATTCTGGCTTTCCGTCTAGATGTATGTGAGATACTACTTAACTCCTTCCAACTGTAAAGGCGGTTTGTTTTCCCATAGCCCGTGATATTTCATCATTATGCATTTATATAATGCAGCTGACCCTTGCACTTGAATCAAGTGAGTTAAAGCTGAAGGAGGGAATTTGAGAGAAGGGTTGGGCAAGAACAGGGAGTGTCTTTCAGGAGAAAAGACAGTTTAGGTGTAAAAGATTCCACCTGACAGTTCAAGGACAACTCTTTAGCACAGTTTCATAGTCCTTATTTTATTCCTCAGCATATGCTGGAATCAAGTGGAATTTAAACTTATTAAAAGCAGTCGCCTTTGTATATTTATTCAATGAGTGAGTAATAAATAAACGTTTTGAGTTGGCTCAAGAGGAGGACTATATGGCTGAGCTACAATACGTACATGCCTTTTTAATTGACTTGTGTTTGCCACAGTACCAAGCATTGTGACACTGTGGTCTTGTGCCCTGCAAAGTAGGAATGGGCCCTAGATAATTCTTACTTCCCAAGCCACTTACAGTGCATAACTGGCTTGATCTTTTTTTTCATATTGGGAAGCTGGATCACTTTTCTTTGCCTATAATTTTCACTATCTAAATTGCTCTTGTGGAAAAGATACTGCTACCTCATAATTCTTAATTATACTAATCATTTTCCTTCCTTGGTTATTGAGAATTATAGCTAAATCAAAGGAAGGATTGAATTTAAGGGAGGGAAGTTACGTGATTAATAAAAATTCCTTTAGCTGTTTTATTTTTGAGCATATAGCATCACCTAGTGGTTCTATGGATTATTTCAGGGATTATTTCTAGAGACAGCTTCTCCGTCCTCCCCACCCCCACCCCACACACTTATTTTATTAAACCACTGCTCATTTAGTATATTTTCTTTCCTCTTCTTTAACTCTGTATATTCTGTTACATTTAGGAAGTAAGCCTTTTCTAGCATAGGAATGGGTGTTGAAGAATTGGTGTTTTTTCCATAAAAAGTGTGCCCCACTTAGCAAAAATAGATAATTTAAAGCAGCAAGGCAACATAGTACAGCACAATATTTTATACATTTCATAAGGTCTGGTACTCTTTGACTAATGCTGTTATCCAAATAGAAGCCCTTTGTGGAAATATTCTATCCTTTTCTTAAACATAGGATTCCGTATTATCAAGCACATATTATTACTATATGCACAAATAAACACACCTTTATTGTTTACCTTATTTGTGAAGTGCTCAAGAATGAATCCTACATATTGCAATTTCCATTAAACCATTTTTACATTTTGGGATTTTAGATAGAAATTTCTGCCTTTTCAATAAAGATATATTTTGTAATTTTAGAATCATAGCTAAACATATAAATTACTGCATTGAATGGATGCCTTCAGCATAAATTTTAGGGCTATTTGCCATAATTTGTTTTAGATAAACTACTGTGCTTTAGTTTCTCTGTCTTATCTCTCGGTCTCCTCCTGCTGCTGACATTGTTTCTTCCTTTTACAACCTTCTCCTTTTTTCTAGTCTCTATTCCTGGTCCTTTCTGATTTGCTGCTTCTATTCTATGGACTAGAGTCAAGTAAACAAGTCAGATACACAGGTCAGGTAACATAGCTTAGGAGGATCCCATTCTCTTGACTTCTAAATTTTGTTCTGTTTAAATTTTGTTCTGTTTTCTTTATACTATATTGAAGATACATGTTAAATCCACAATGCTTTATGGTAAAAATAGCTCGATTTTAAGAGTACATGATTTACTAGATTAAAGTGCACAGTTTTAGTGATTCTATTCCTGCTCAGTTACCCATTGGACAGCTTTAGTTGTACTATCTGTTTCAGTCCCTGAGATTCTTCATATTCACACACACGCCCAAAATCAAGTCGGGCAACCAGATACTCATTGTGCATCTGCTCTTTCTAATGCATGGTGAGCATGAACATGCATAGACTTCTTTCATGTGTGGGGTTACAGATACCTTGATAATTACTTGCATCTAAATCTTCCATTCAAATAGGAAATTTTATTTATTTAAGACCATCCATCCTGAAGATTTTCAAAGGATATTATTTAACTTTTAAACTTTGGCTTGATTTGTTATGTAAGCAAATGCAATCTATAAATGACACTTAAAAGAAAGTTAAATTTTCTACTTACTGTTAATATGAACTGTAATCCATAGGGCAATTTATTTCTGCATAAATGGTAACTGTTTCTCATGCTTCATAGAATTGAAACAAGAATGCAGTCACACACTGTATAATGATGTAATGACATTGCAGTCAGCGATGGATTGCATATACAAATGGTGACCCCATACAATTCTTTTGCCTAATGATAGTGAAGCCTATCTTATTCTGTGTTGTGATGTGTATACAGTGACATAGTCTGAATGATGCAGTTCTCAGAACAAAACTCTGGTGTCAAGCAACCCATGCGTATAATATGTTATGTAGGCTTTATGTGTGTAGTTGCTATAAATGACATTTTATTCCAAGTACCTTTTCTATTCTGTCACATGCATAACCTAGTCTAGTAAAGTTTTATGAAGATACTTTATGCTTTTCATTAAATTACAGGCTTGGTTTTAAAACACATTTTGATTCTTTGCCAAGTATTCAGGATCCAAACACATATGATTTCTTACTAAGCCAGGAAAGTGTTGATATTTTTTAATTCCTAAATTGTGAAGAGACATTTTGATGAAATACCCAAACTTTTGTGGATACTAATTTCAGAATTTATTGACTTTTCTTTTTAGTGGAGTTTGTGTTTCTTTGGTTGGATATTTGGCACAACATGCCAAATAATCAAGTGGCAATAAGCAGGTCAGGCTTTACAGCCAAACCTTGGGTGGCAGATTAAATAAAGATTCTGTACCTTCTCCATGGTGCTTGGGAGAAGGTGACCATTACTCTTTAAAAAATCCCAAAGTGACAAATAAATTTTCTAATGTTTGCTCCTGCTTTAATGGCCTATGATACTGCTAAAGAAACACATCTCCCCCAATGTTTAATGATGAGATTCAGCAAGAAACTTTTTTTTAGGAGCATAATCTAGTTGGCTGGCAACTATTTCCGTAGAGTTTAAGCATCTAATTTGATCACTATTGCAACTATTAAAATTAAACTGGAAAAGATTTAGACTTCAGGAAAATTATTATTAAGATTATAAAAGAACATTCTAACTGTAGTATAATATTCTATTTTATGTAAAAATTACCTACATCCTCAACTTGAAGAATATATATGGAATTTTAACAGTATTTATATTTGGAAAGTAACATTGGGTAGGAATCTTTTCTTTTTTGTTTTCCTTTTTTCAGAGTTTTACAATAAATTTGGATTGTTTTGTAGTCAGAAAACCATGAAAAATATGTGAAAGAAGTAGATTTTATTTGGGTTTGTTAGCAAAAAGCAAAGAGATCAAATGGACAGTAACTTTTTTGTATTTTTTCCTTTAACATGAAAAGTAACTATTTTCCCTACACAACCTGACTTCATCGTTCAGGAAAGTAGGGAGACAACACATCAATCTGGGATTTAGAAGAGCTCTTGTCAACTTTCATAAGTTCATTCATTAAATACTTGTTGAATATCTATGTTGTGCATAGTGTCTTGTGATCCTATTGAGTAGCTAGGATTACAGGTATGTGCCACCATACCCAGCAGGAAATGTATATTCTGAGATGAATATTTGATTAATAGAATTGTTCAGAGTAGTGTTTTGAAGACTTATTAGTAACATAGAAAAGAAATATCTAAGTGTTAGATGTTTACCTAACATAGTAAATTATAGGAAAGAAAATATATATCATAAGAGAAATTTCTCTGATTTAAATTCTAATCTTCTTAACATTAGGTTTTGTGTTGTAAATACATGAAACCCTGAGAAAACAAGAATTTAACTTTAGCTTTTTTTTCCAGAAGAGTTACATTGTCAGATCTCATTTATGTTTTCATGCAGTCAAGTGATAGAAAATACTGAGGAAACACAGAACATGAAAGAAGTAGATTCTTTGGGTTTGGTGGCAGAAAACCAAGCGATCAAAGGGACATCTTTTTAAATATTTTCTTGGGTGAAGTACTGTCTCTCTCTTATTATTTCTGGTTTTATTTAGCAGTAGAATGGCTACTTGTGTAAAATTGTACATAATAACTGCACTTTTATTACAGTGTTACCTTAAATTGGGGGAATAAAACTATCCTTTCCTCAGCATAGGAATGTTTTAAGTGGCATCTGCCTCCTCGTATCATTCCTGTAAACTTCATGCTGTCTTTCTTTGTTTCAGATGTCCTCTGGTACTTGCAGGCCTGATGTTTCAGAATCCCCTGAATTGCGTCAGAAGTCACCATTGTTTCAGTTTGCTGAGGTAATATGCTGCAGTTTATACTTAATTAATAAAGAAATTGTAAACAAGTTTCAACTTGTACAGATGACAGTGAATCAAATTAATGAAGTCAGTTAACCATAAATGGGAAAATTGAACCAAATCTTCTAAAAGATATTTGGAACTCCAGAGTTCTTAGTTAAGGAATAATTATGAGTTTTATATAAGTTTTCTTTTTTAAAGTCACAACTAAGTATTATTACACTTAAACCTTATTACTAAATTGTATGCATGGATTTTAAACTTATGAATATAATTAGTTATTAAACGTAAGTCACTGATTGGATAAATTGGAAGACTGAATCAACTCATGGTTTTTGCCTAAGCCCTCCCAAACCTGCCCCCAACCCTGTCTTAAGTCTTAAGTTTCTCTTACTTGAAACTGTAGCACAAGGTTGGAAGTTTTCAGAGTGTTATTTTATGAGTTGGGCCTGTTCTCTTAAAATGCCTTTTGACACTGGTTCAAAGAGATTATGTTAAAAAATACATTATCCTTGATAGCAAGCTTATAGGTTAAAACTGCTTCCTAAAATATCTTTATTTAGCCTAGAACCCTATATCAGTTCCAGTTGATCCCCCTACCCCAAACTTTAAACCACCTGATCTTCCCTTGATCATTTGAATTGTCTTTCCTTAGACATTCTCTGTCTCATCCTTCCTGGCATTTGCCCATCCTGCCATAGTTTTATACATGGAGAACATATTGTAGTTCAAAAATGTATTTTTGACACTGTCACAGCAGGCTGAATATTCCTGAATGCCTTCCTGGTATCACTAGAATGTTAGACATATTTGCTGCAAAGACTCCTCATCTGTCACTTTTCTGCCTCTGTGAGCTCTTCCATGAATTCCAATTGTTTTGCACATTGTTTCTATAAGAATTAATGTAACACACAGGTGCAGTGGTGCATGCCTGTAATCCCAGTGGCTAGGGCTGCAATAGGAGTATTTCAAGTTTAAAGCCAGTGCCTCACCTCAGCAATGGTGAGGCACTAAGCAACTCAGTGAGACCCTGTCTCTAAATAAAATATAAAATAGGACTAGGGATATGCTCAGTAGTTGAGTGCCCTTGAGTTCAGCCCTGGTTACCCCCACCCCAGTTGCTAACATAACCTAGTTTTTATGTAGTCTCTTTCAGTTGTAGTTGCAGATGTGTTAGATGAAGTTGGGCCCAACTTTGAGAGCAGAGATTCTTAGCGAATGATCCCTGAACCCTAAAGATCTTGTGAAATCTCTAAAAATTCCTATGAAATTTTGGACACATTAATGTATGAACATTTTTATCATCTCTCCAGCATACTTAAGATTCCAATGAGATTTCTAATACTATTGCTTCTATTTAAAAGGTCCCTGGTCAAATATTTCTTCAGGCATTTTAGGCATTCCTATTCGTGTCATTAATTAAAATCTTTTCTTATTGCAACATTAATTTTTAAAAATATCCTTTTGCTTGGAACTCATAAAATGCTTTTCAGAAAACAAGGTGGATTATAGCACTGATTCAGTTTTTTTTTTTTTTCACTGACCGATTTAATTCTTGAAGAAATGTATTGTAGGTTAGGCTTTTCCTTTTATATAAACTTTATCTTTTTCTAAGTTTTGTAGAGGGTTAATAGAGATGAAAAGTAATATCTGAAGTAAGACCTACTGAGGTTGTAATTTCCAAAACTTCAGGAAAATCCTGTGGATTCATATTTGCAGTCTACCACACTTACCCATGGTATTCATTGGAGATTTCTGTGTTTGTGGTTTGAACAAACACAGTAATGTCTGAACAAGAAAAAGTTCTAAAATTTTACCCTTCGATGTCTTCAAAACATTTGATTTAATTTTATCCATTCATATGGTTGGTTTATATTTAAAGTGCTGAAGAGGATCTGGTTTATTTGTTTTTTCCTTCTTATTGAGATTTATTCTAAAAATTCTTTTTTTTTAAAGAGAGAGTGAGAGAGGAGAGAGAGAGAGAGAGAGAGAGAGAGAGAGAGAGAGAGATTTTTTTTTAGAGAGAGAGAGAGGAGAGAGAGAATTTTTAATATTTATTTTTTAGTTCTCGGCGGACACAACATCTTTGTTGGTATGTGGTGCTGAGGATCGAACCCGGGCCGAACGCATGCCAGGCGAGCGTGCTACCGCTTGAGCCACATCCCCAGCTCCTAAAAATTCTTATTTTATTAAAAAATGCAGTAGAATTGAAATTTTCCTAATGTCTTCAACAATTAATAAAACCAATAATTTCAATCTTTCTCTTAATCCTTTCTCATCCCTAAATATCACTGTGGTGCTATATTTTACCCATTTTCCTAAGTTTTCTAGAAGTTACTTTGTGGTTGAGCTGCATTCATTACTTAGTAAGGACCTTTCCATGGAATTGGTGAACACAGTTACTAATAAAGAAAGCAAGCTTTAGCGGGACTGGGAATGGGCTGAAGTTACAATATCCAAGGTTTCTGCTCTTGTGACTCACTTTCAACCTGTTTTGTAGCAGAAGAGAAGCTTTATTCACATTGGGACAAAAATTAGTAACTGTCTTGCTCTCAAAGTCCTTGAAAGTATTTCTACATGGCTTTCAGCAAAGTTTGAGAGAGGCTTCCACAATTACACAATGGAAACGAAAGTTTTCCGGTACACATCAAGTGTTGTGTGACAGAATCTTCTATCTATTGTTAGACACAAAAGCATGTTTTGTTTGTGTGGAGTTGAAGGATGCAGGTGTTCTGAAAGAAAGAAAATGCTTTTCATATTTAGTGAGCAACTTCTAAGTTGTGATGGTAAGCCAGGCTGTGTATTTTATGGCCTATCTACTTTATGGCTTACATTTTTCTCACCATAATCAGTAGTCATTAAAAAAGAAATTATCACCATCATTAATTTATAGTTGGGAAAAACAAGTTTAGCTGAACTGCCTTGGGTCATGTAGCTGGTGAGTAACAGCTAAAATTCAATCCCAGATACCCTGACCCACATCCATGTGCTCCAACAGGTTTACAGCTGCTTCTCTGCAGAAAGCAGCTTGCAGGGAATAATGTAGAGGTGAGAGAAAGTGACTGGCTTTCCTTGCAGTCTCCAGCTTTTAATAATATGTTCTTTGAAAACCATAGAAATATAAAAATTCATTTCAGTAGGTCTCCTTAACTGCTGTTTGATACATACCTGATACCTTTACAAGGGACATGGCAACTAAGCCAAATTCTTTTGTCATTTGGTTCTTTCCAACCATTTGTTTTTAGAAACATGGCCTTTGTCTTCTGTTATCATTTATACTGTTCTTCTAAAAGGGATTGAAAGTGATGATTCATGTCTTAATCTTTATAAGTGTCTGCAGTGGAAATATATGACAAAATCTAACAGTCTGATATGGGAAAATGTCCTAGTACATTAAAAACAACTTGTTTCCTTTCAGATATCTTCAAGTACATCCCACCCTGATGCTCCTACAAAACAGTGTCAAGCATCAGCCTTGTTTCAGTTTGCAGAGGTAAAGCTTTCTTTTTTTTTTTTTAAATGTTTATTGCCCTCAGAAAACATATTTATCTTAGAAACTACTGAAATGGAATTTTAATAATGTATAGTCAACTTTAAGCATGGCTGTTGCCATTATTAATGTAATACACAGAATATTTATGGCTCTTTGCTGCCTTTGGTATAATCATAGTTGAGTCAGTTTCATATTTTATACCCATTTTATAAACATTCATTAAGCTCATTCAGAATAGGTACTTACCAGTAATCCATTTATTTTATTTTACCTTGTTTTTAATTTATTTTAAAAGCTTAGAAAAACTGCTGTCAACATGAAAGCCAGAAGATTCCGATTTGTTAAATGTTTCCAGTAGTGAAATTAGGTGCTATAATTCATGAATAACGTTCTCAAAGCAGATGCAGTGGTGAATATGACCTGTTAAATCATCAGTACTTAGCTTTCGGTGTGATGTAGCTGCAGCCAGTGTTTTTATTAGTGTTTAATCCCCGACTTTGATCAAGTTAGCTCTTGCAGGATCTCAGATTTCTTCAGTTTGTCAGCCAGACAGAGCACATGCTAGAGAGTACTTTCTTGTTGATAATCTGAGGAAGCAGATCTGATATGCTTGATTTTGCCACAGAACCCTGGCCTCAACCATATGCTCCATCCTGTTGAGCACTGTGTGACAAATAATAAATCTCATACAGTTTATGAAAATAAGATGCTGCCTGCTTTAGGTCTTTCTCATTTTGCCTTTTTATTCCAACAAAAAATGCATATCAGAAAGTAAGCAATTTTTAATAGGATTGAGAGAATGAGAAGCAGGACTGTTCTGCTTAATATTGATGTATTGAATTACTGTGATTCATTTGAATAAAGAGGACTGCATAAATGAAATGTAAAATGATATCCTTTTGGCAGGAGAAAATCTAGCATCTTCCTTTGAAAAAAGAGAAAAAAATTGCTCTAAGCTTTCATCTACCCTCTTCCCCGCCAAAATGCTACTTCCTCTTGGGATGCTTGTATTAACCACTGTGACTTTGTGTCAGCAGTAGGCTGCTTATGTGTTAGGCTTCTTTGCCACAGTATTCACTTTAGTTGCTGAGGGCTATTGTTTACAACTGGTGACAAAAATACACAATGTTATCATTTCATAAAGAACAATTTGCTTGATGAATCTGAATAAATTAGTATTTTATTATAATTTTCCATTCTGATTAATAGGCTGTTGTTTTCGGTGTATGGGAAAATGGTTTTGTTTAATAGCACATCTTTTTCTCTGGTTGTCAACACCCATTAGTCTGTTCCTAATAAGTTTTTAAAGAGTTAAAAAAGAATTTTGGCATGTTGGCTAAGGTTATTTTTAATATTGATAACTGAGCTATTCCCATCCAACTTTTCAGAAACATTTTCTTGAAAACAGAATTTGCCATGTATTCTGTTTGATTAAATTCTCCATTCTGCAGCATGAATATTAGAAAGGTATAGTGGCTCAACTTTGACACACCTGATATTTGCATATGCATTAACTACCAAGAGTATTCAACTTAATGTAAAATGTCAATGTGAGATGTCTGAGCTGGTCTTGGTTGGTGTCCACAGCATGATTAGATGTTATTTAAAAGATATTCCATCATCAGATTCATTAGGAGCCCCTGAAGCCCTGCAGCAGTTCCAAGGGCCTACTTTGATATTGTACAGGCACTATCTTGTGATTCTGCAGAAAGAGATCCTGTACCTCTCTTAAAGTAATTCGTCTTTGCTGCTTAGCACACTCTTCAGAAGACCAGAGGGTTCGTTCCTTGTCTCTTAATTTTATTAAGTTTATTTTCTAAGGAAGAAAAGAACTTATTTGACGTCTGAGAGTTTTCCCACTGATCAAGAGCACTTGCCTCTGAGGGCTTTTGGTTTTTGACAAGAAGAGTATGTAGGATTTGAAGAAGTTTAATAATATTGTTTATTTGAAAACTTATTGGGAGCTGTTTCAATTATTTGTAACATAGGAAGGCATGCATGATGGAAAACCCAAAATAATATGGATAATGTAAAAAAATGTTTTCTATTATGTTCTAGAATTCAATGCAATTCCCTATTCTCAACTCTAAGGGTATTACTTTTCCTAGTTATATTTTGCATAGGTTGATGATATAAGCCCTTTCAATTTCTAAGCAAATTAAATAAATTATGGCATCTTTTGAAGAGAAGTTCATGATACTGTAAGGATATATAACATGTCTAGTCATTTTCCTCTTATGACAAAGAGAAGCCTAAGTTTCAATCTTGATCTGACCTTCTGTCAGCCCAATACTGGGCTGGTTTATTTAAAGTTAAAAAGAACTAACTAGCTGGGCATGGTGGCACACACCTGTATTCCCAGGGGCTTGGGAGGCTGAGACAGGAGGATCTCAGTTCAAAGCCATCCTCAGCAATGGAGAGGCACTCAGTGAGACCCTGTCTCTAAATAAAATATAAAGTAGGACTGGGAGTGTGGCTCAGTGCTCAAGTGCTCATGTTCAGTCCCCAGTACTCTCCCCCTCCCCCCAAAAAAGCTAGAAGAACTAATAAAATTATCTACTAAAATTTGCCATGAGCATGTATATTGCAGTAGAAACAAAATGGGCTATAATTACTATGATGATATACCTAAAGCTCTTATATCTCATGATACACCATCACCTTTGACAAACAGAAAAACCTCATGAAATTCTTGTTCTAATTATTTTGTAGCAAAACTTTACAAACTTTGAAGTATATCAGTGTCACCTAGAAGGCTAGGTGAACCTCACTCCCAGAATTTTTGATTTATCAGTGGAAGTGTGGGCCTGAGAGTACGCCATCAGGTTTTCTTTTAGGAAACCTCAATTTAAGACATTTATCTCTAGTTATCTTTTTTTAATCCCCAAATTACTAAATTATGATTGTTTTGACACTCTTCTATATCTGTATGGTCTCATTGGGGAAGGGATGGAAAAGAGGAAGGGATGAGTATGTAATTAAATTGTCCAGTGGACCACTTTATACCCATCCCTTTTCAGAGGGATTTGGTAGATTATTATTTAGTTAGAAATGAATGTTCATATAGCTTAGGAATCATTAGGTCTTTTAAAAAAAAAATTTTTTTTATGTGGTACTGAGGATCGAACCCAAGACCTCGTGTGTGCAGGGCCAGTGCTCTACTGCTGAGCCACAACCCCAGCCCCTCAATGAGATCTTTTAATGTACTTATTTTTAAATGTTATTTTAAAACCAGGCATCCAAAATCCTTTGAAACCATTCCTGCTAATTTCATATACAAACTCTTAGAGAGATTTCTCTATACAATCTCTTAGAAATGGGTTATTTATTGTGTAATGTATTTGTCCAAGAAACCTACTTTTTAAAAACCAATAAGCCCTGGGCACTTCTTTGGGTTAAAATAGGTTTTTTTTTTTTTTTTTTTTTTTGTGTGTGTGTGTGTGTGTGTTTTATTTCACCTAAAGAAGGATATTTTTTTTCCTTAACCATAGTTTTAAAGCCTATCGAAGTTAATCTATATGGGACCAGGAAACTCAATAAAGCACATTTTGTTTATATATTCCTTATGAATGTTTACATTAAAGGGAAGAAAATAATATATCTACTTTATTGGATCTAGAAAGAAATAACAGAATGCAGAGACTTGCATCCCATCCCATTTCTGTGCCCGTCTCTCATTCCATATTGACATCCGTATTTCATCCAGATTCATCTCAGCTCATCCAATTTGCTATTGCTCTGTGTTTCCAGGCTCTGATTCATTAAGTTGGTCAGAATGAGTTCCCTGTCTGCATCTTTTGTTGTTTACAGGTAGAATGACACATCAGTCACTTTTTAGATCTGGTTTACTGAAGACTGATAACCAAACACAATGCCAGAGAGGGAGCTATTGTTTTACATTATTTATCAGGTCTAAAAGCCATGACCAATTCGCATTCTCTTCTCTTCTCTGTGGTAGAGTAGATCTTTGCATTGAAAAATTACATATTTACTTTAACGACATGGAGAGCTAATTTAGATGGTTTAGAGCTAATTTAGATCTGGACATTAAAACTTTCCTTAGAAGATACTGTCGATAAAAGTACAAGCATAATCTCAAAAAATTTAAGGTTTTGTCACAATTGGATATAAACATTAAGTCTAAATTTAAAACATTTTATTTCCATGAATTCCAAATATGTTATGGAATAGTACACTTCATAAAAACATCATATACTTACACTGCAACTAATTAGTGGACATATTATGTATTTTATTGGAACTGTTAATACTCCTTTAAAGGTAAGGAAGACCAGTTGTCCTCATATTGTACATTTGTTCTTTGATTTTTTAATTCATTCAACAATTATTAGTCATTTTTCTCCAAGGCTACAATGTTTATGATACCCCTTGTGCTTGCAAAAAAATTCCACCATTATCTACTCTGATCATTACCACCTGTTTCCTTGGTGCATTTGTCTACCTTAGGCAAACATAAAATTAGTAATTTAATGTCTAGAGTGGTAATTTTTCTTAGCTCTTTGCCTTACCTCATGTACTCCTTCACCCAGCATTTTGCCAACCTTTATGGATGTATACTGTTTATCTGACTATCACATAATAGTCAAAGTAGAGACTAAAATGGAGTTAATAGACTGGCAAGCACCATCCAATTTGAGGAAAGTAAAAAGCATGGCCATGAACATAACTATGCAGTATTACCCTCTAGTGATGCCACCTACCATCAAACATGAACTTCCTCCATTGCTGGACAGTCATTGAAAAACTAACATTAACTATGTTGTTCTTACCTGAAAGGATACATGTCTGTTAAGTAGGAGATTATTAGCAGAGGTGAACAATGGCAATACGAGAAATCAGCACTGTGCAAGCAGTGCCTAAGATCAAAACTACTAGTGTAGATGAGAGTCCTGAGAGGATATGTGTGACATAAAAAGAGGGCTCTGATACAAAGCCCTGAGGGGAAAACAACATTTAAAGAACACTGTAGAAAGAAGAGCTAGCAAAGGAGAGTGACCTGAGAAGTAGGACCCTACTGTAGTAATAGAATCCAAGGTGCCACAGAGAAATTCAAGTAAGGATTCAGCCATCAGAATTAACATCTGTCCAGTTTTCCACTAACCTACCACCCCAATTAAGAAGTTAAAAGACATTTTTAGGAAACACATCTTTGTGTGATACCACTGAGTCATTCCACAAAAATTTTATTGTTAGGAGATTCTGGAAGTGTTGGACCTCCCCCACATGCCATTTTGGAAATCAGGTTTCTAGCAACCTTAAGCATAAAATCTCACCCCAGCCCTATACCTATAAATAGGTAAAAATCCTCCCCAGAGGCAATGAGAAAAGCTGTTCTCATTATCATGGGGAGCTCCTTTTGGAAGGCAAAGATCCATTTCAGTCCTCCACTCAAGTCAAGAAGCAGTGCTTTAATGGAAGGAGACCAGATAATGCATCTGTGTAGTCTGTAGTTCTTCACAGAGCCTTGCTCTGCATTGAGCACAAGATATGTGGTAGTAAACAAACACAGCCCTGGAGCAGAGACCTATGCAACAAAAGCGACAGCAGAGGGAGCCAGTGGAAGAACTAGAAAAACAGCTTGGGCTGTGTAGTGCCGCTCTGTCCTGTCCTTCAGCAATTCTTAATTGTGCAGCAAGTATATTATTCTACAAATGACTAAATCTAATATAAGTAGTATCCTCAGGCTTTACAGTTTTTTAACTCTGCTCGATTTCAGTTTGTAACCAACTTTTGGAATTGTACTAAAAGGGTTTATGTTTACCAATGTTCATACTAATAATTGTATCTCATATTGAGAGCATAATTATGACCTCAGCACTGTGCTGCTCACTAACATGAAATCTTATTGTCTCATGTAATACAGGGCAGGTGTTGTTTACATATTGAAGGTAAAGTAAATGAGGCTTAAAAGTATTCATTATTTGAATTAAATCCACAAAGCAGAAGGTAACGAAGGCCGTCTCCCTTCAGTTCTAAAACCTTAATTCAAAGAAAGCAGAAAGTAACGAAGGCCATCTCCCTTTAGTTCTACAAACTTAATTCAAAGAACTGTCGTTTATGTTCACTACCTCATTCCTAAAGTCACTAAGAGTCAGTGGTAATTAATGACTTTGTTTTCTCTCAGTCTAATGATAAGTAATTGAATGTAGCTTATATAAAAAAGTAGAAGTGACATTTATTAGTAAAATATTCCAAACTTCAGAAAGATTGAACCCCATAAGTCATCTTCTAAAGGAAAGCAAATGATCAGAGTAAATATGGGAGGCCTCTGTTAAAACCGATTGCACCTGGTGGAAGAAAGTGTCCTCATGACTTTCTTAAACTTTACCTTTTATGATGGGCTTTGTAGATGTTTAAATATATCTTCTACAAAGGCTCTGCTCAGCAGGATTTCTTGGGGAGAAATTGCTCTAGCAGTGAGCACTTAGTCCTTCTAGGACTTCTAGAATCTCCTGTGAGTCCTGGGTGTCACCTGTAAGGATATATTCATCAGGCAGGATTTTCTCCTGAACAATTGAGAAACAGCTTTGTCTGAACTGGGAAAGAATTCAGAATCACAAAGAACCTGGAAGTGTAGACCATAGCTAACCATGATAGAACTTCTCCAGGAGAAGAATGTATATATCTTTCTCAGCTCTTACTGAGACTAGAAATTGAAAATGAAGTTTTCATATGAAAATAAGGCAGTGCTATTCATTTTTTATCTGTGCCCAGACACCATTTAACCAAATTGCCAGAAAAATATGCAGTCAATGTAATGTTATGTATATCACTGTACCACAACATAGCATAGGTCTGTATAACTGTACAACTTGGATTCCTGTCCTTGATTATCAGTCTTTGAGTGTACTTGCAACATGGCCAGGGTCAGTGTTTATAAAAAAAACTTTTAGCTTCCTCAGCTCCTGTCATATTGCCTACCATATTTATTGCCTAGCATGTATTCTCAAAAAAATCTGTTGATTCACTTGAATGCTGTCTTTCCACAAAGATCCCAAATATTTTCTTAAAAATTAGCCAATTGCTTGAAATGCAAAATAACTCTAAATCTTCTTTTATTTTTGGCCTATTGATGAGTTTGGAAACTCAATCAATGAAACAGAAATGGAAATGCATATATTTTTTAAGGTTAGAGTTAAAACCTGGAATGTGCAAGATAATACTCTTGTCATTAAATGGGCACTATAGAGACACCTGTTTTTGTTTGTTTGTTTTTATTATTTTTTTAATTGTTTATGAACTTTTATTTTATTTATTTATTTACCTACTGAGAATTGAACCCGGTGCCTCACACACACTAGGCAGGTGCTGTACCACTGAACTATAACCCCAGCCCCATTTATTTTTATTTTGGAGCTGCCAAAATAGTTCCTTTTCCCCAAATTTGTTCTAATTAGTTAATATATGACAGTAGTAAAATAGTTCTTAAAATGATCATCCCAAACATGATATGTTCAAAGTTATTTGGTACTTGGGAGCAATAATATTCCCATAAACAAAGGAAATTTCTTATATGTATATAGATGGAAGGCAAAGATTCTGGTATCATAATTAATGTTCTTTATGTCAATTTTTTCCGATATAGATCTCTTCAAACACTTCGCAGTTGGGTGGTGCTGAGCCTGTAAAACGCTGTGGGAAGTCCGCACTCTTTCAACTGGCAGAGGCAAGTTATTGTGAATATATTGAGATAAGATCTGCAGAGGTGGAAATCACAAAATAATTATAACTGTTCCATAAACTGTACATCTCACCTTTGACCATAAAATGTGTTATATCTAATTTTCAACAATGAGAGTTAACCTTTAATTTATGAAAAAGGAATTTCAGTACTAGAAGTCATTAAGCTTAAGAAAGGTTTTGCAGAGATATCACAAAATCTATTTTCAAAGGTAATATTTTAAAATAAGGTTTTTTTTGTCTCTTTAGTTAAGTAAGTCCAGTGGAGCACAGAATAGCCCATGTGTTACAGTTTGGATGTGAGATGTCCTGCAAAAGCTCCTGAGTTAATGCAGGAATGCTCAGAGGTGAAATTATTAGATTATAAGAAGGATGGGCCTTGTTAGTGAAATGGGCTTACTGGGTCATAATTATAAACAGGTGGGGTATGATTGGAACAGGTGGGTCACGGGGGTTGTGTCTTAGAAGGGTTCATCTTCCTTGTCCTTTACCTGCTTTCTTCTCTCTAATTTTTGGCTACCACGAGGAGCTCTGCTTCTCCACCATGCCCTTCCACTGTGTTGTTCTGCCTCACCTTGGGCGTAGAGCAGTGGACTCGCCTGACCATAGAAACCCTAGAACTGTGAGCCAAAATAAACTTGTCCTCCCCCAAGTTGTTCTTGTCAAGTATTTTAGTCACTTTGAGAAAAAGCTGACTAACATACTGGATTACTACTTTTCTCTTCTCTGTTCTCTTCAACCATCTATAAATTTCTAGAAGGCATTACTTTTAAACCAGGTTGATGTTTTAATTTTTTTTTAAGTGAAGGATTCACTGGCATAGTCTAACATTATATTTTTATAATATCTAACACTTGTACTTTTTGATGTGACATGGATGTAAAATGCTCTCATTCCACTGAGAAAATATTAAATGTGTTTTTATAAAGCCTGCAAGAGACAGAGCCCTCCCTTGGTGGGTGATGGGTCAGGTAGGAAGGTGCCAGAGGCAGTTGTTGTTGGGCATGCACAGTGGCTTGCTCTGCCAGGCTGTGACCACTCTGCCTCAAGGGAACGTGTGGAAGGAATGTTCTCAGCACCAGGACACTATAGACATAGTTTTCCCTGCAATGAATTACGAAGTACAGAGTGAATGAATGATAAAAAAGTTTTTCTACCAAACCCATTCTCTTATTTTTCTGGCTTTTTTTTCCAGTGAGTTTCCTCTGAGCTCTTTGGTGATACAGTTCTTTTATATATTCTTGGTAATGTATTGAGCTTAATGAGATGACATGCAATTTCCTAAAATTTCTAAATTTTATGGTAGTTTGTATCATAAACATTGGGAAGTTTTAAATATCTTTAAATCAGGTTTTTAAAGCCTAGCCAGATTCATATTAGAAATATAAAAATACAAAGGCCTGAAATAGTAGTGTATACAAACAGTGGAACAAACCAGCCCATTGTTGTCTGACACTGAGCTGACGTGCTGCTTGTGTAAGACAAATTCAGACTCAAATGGAGGGCTTCGAATGGCTGGAAAACTCAGAGAAAAACTTAGGGAGACAGCAGGGAATTGTTCTAAAAAGAACTGCATGAGTCACTGTAAACTACTACTTCACACACAACTGAAACAGTGAAGATCCAACAAAGAGGGATCTTTTGGAGTTGGACTTGTAAACAAATCTTAGTAAACAAAGAGACAGAGGTCATGAATTTTCTAAACTGCAAAATTTGTTAGGACTAGACATTTGAAGGAAGTAACTATTTTCCTTGAATGATAATGTGTGTATGGGTCCTCTGATTTTTCTGATTATGTAATTTGTCTATGTGTGTACATGCACATACATATAAACATAAAATGTTTACTTAAGTATTAACACTAATTTATAAAACTATCTTTCAACATGCAATATTTATTTTTATAAACCTTTTTTTTTTGTTGTTGTTGTTGTTAGAAATGTGTGATCCTTTGGGATACTTAGCTGTGAGCAGTGCTAAATGAATTTGTCTTCTCATTTTCTTCCAGTCATAAAAAAAAAAAGATTCCTTATTAAATCAGAGCTCATTAAAAAGAACATTCTTCTAATTTGTAGGGATGCATCCCAAATATGAAGCAGATGCTATGGTTTAACAGATGTTTGAATGCTGGAATCATATTTTAAAGGGGTAAAATGACGGAAATAAGCCTATTCCAATTATAGCAAATCAGCTTATACTCAGACTTAGGTTTTTATAATATTTGAGTTAAAATATATGCTTTTGATGAAACAGGGTTGCTAAAAAATAATTTACCAAGAAACTCTTTTCACATTATTATTTGCACCACATGAATATGATGCCACAATACCAAGAGTACATTTTAGAGTGACATCCTAAAGCCTTTCCACCTTCTGATTAAACATATATATATGTACAGTGGATTAATCAGCATTGTCAAATAATCACTAGTAGATAAATGTATCCTTAATTTTTATCCTATTTTTTTAGCAAAATAGAATATTTAATTATTCTGGTGCCTCTTAACAAAAAAAGTAAGTATAATAAGATATTGAAGAGGATTTTTCCTGTTGAGTAGACCTCATGCTATTACCTGGAATCTGAGGAGACAGCTTTAAATTTATATATTCCAAGGGGAAATTCGTCAAGAAATACCTTCCGATTTTGACTGGACCTGTCTCATGGGGTTTATAATCCAGTTAGTATCCCTTACATTTTGAGAGGCCTCTCATCCCCACTATAACCCTTAAGTCATTCTAGGTGAGGAGACATCATGGGTGTTGTGGTCATCTGGAGCATATCTTGCTTTTCTCTTTCCTTGGGAGGAAAGGATAGAAGTAACTTCTGTTCTTTACCCCTGCCCCATCAAGGGACCTGTAGGGGATCCAGGAGAACCACTATTAAAGATTGAGGGAGAAACATTCAAGAAGTATCTTCTCGTTCTTTACAAAAAGCAAGAAATGTTTTAGACATAAATTTGCTATGGCATCTGCCAGGCCAAAAGAGACCAAAGGAAGTTGGCAGCAGTGAGAAACTTGGAATGGCCTGCTACATTCTTAGTTTTAGCATTGTAAAGATGTGTTTCCCAAGGGTCAAGTGAGTACATAGAAAATAGATTGGTTTGATCAGACAAGAGGCCAATGGGGTGGAATTCATAGAGAACAGATCTGGAACAGTCTTTCACAAGAGGGAAAAATATAATTAAGATGCCTTTGCTGGGGGTACTCTGATGCACACCCTGTGGCAGGAGTGGCATTCAGCTGGTTTTTGTTGAGTTTAATGAGATGACATACAGGTGTTTTTTCTACTACTGGTAAAAAGCTTGTGACTCAATCCCCTGAGTACCCTTGCCACAACTTGGCCAGCATCCCTAAGCTCCCCTGATTCTTCCACCAACTGCAGGACACAGAAAGGGATCTTCCAGCCCTGCAGCCACATTACCTATGATAATTGGCATGTCCCCCTGTTAAATATTTTGTATATCACCCTTTCCTATGGCATTCCCCTGAGAAAAGTCATGGACTCTTTTGTAGAGTTAGCAGGGACCAACAAAAGAGAGACGTAACCGTGGGCAGTTAGTTTTATCTTGCTGTCTTCTATGACTAAACCAGAGGCTTCAGACATTGTGAAAGGCCAGAAATCAGCTTAAAACTAAGCACTCACCCTTCCCCAACCACATTCTCGTGAGCAGATCTTCTAAAGCCAGAGTTGTTGTTAACTGTCTTCTCCTTGGCAAGCAGCAAAAAATGTTTTAGATGTGTATTTAGTGCTGTGATCTGTACCTACCTAGCAAGAAAAAGAAAATTGGATGAAATCAGCAAAAGGCACAAAGAGAATTGGATAGGCCTGTGCTCTTGGTTCTGATGCTATAAGGACTCACCCCTCCCCATGTTCCCATGGCCCTGGATATCCCTAGGAGATGATGCCCTAAAGAAGGACTTGATTTGGGCACATGATTGGCATTTTGATGGGTAGACTTTTAATAGCTGAAAATTCTAGAATTTATTTTATTTATTTTTAAGAGATTTCTGCTGAGGTCAACAAATTAGGAAAAATACAGTCCTTTTTGTTTGAACCCCCAGGAGGTTTGTGGTGTTCAGTTAATCAGTTAACTTGAATTGTGCATATACTATAATATATTGGTTTCCATTTGTTTGGAGATGAATTAGAACAGATCATATAAAGAGCAGCAAAGCCTCCTCCCTAATGTGGTATTTTTATATTACAGTTGCTTTAGTTGGAAGACAGTCTGAAGAAATTCAGAGATAACTTTACCTATACATTTCAATAAAGAAAATTATATACTTAAAGACCACCCTTGTCTAATAAGTGGGATAGTTTATTCAAACAGACAATAACAGTCTATTCCATGCCAATAACAGTATGGCTGCTGAAGTTACCTGCAAATGTATGTAAACACATATTTTAGTACAGTAAGAGCAAAATCTGTAAAGTATATGAGATTAGTGGTATAGGAGCACTTTATCTCCAGACATAGTATAGTGCTGGTGTTCAGAGTATAGAGTAGGGACTGAGTGTAAACCTGAAAAGACTATTACTAGTTTTACTCATAATACTTCTGAATGATTTTAAATGTACTTTAGATTAAATTTTTGGTAGGATTTTTTTCAGCAAATGAATTTTATTTTCTAACCTAAAATAACAACTGACATTGAATATCTACTTGTGTTAGGCATTATTTTAAGAACTTTACATGTACTGATTCTCAGAACTATCCTCTGAGGTGGGTAATATTGTCATTCTTTTGACATATACCAAATGACAGAGAAGTTAGGTAACTTGCTTAAGGTGACATGGGCAGTGTTAAAGAGTCCAGATAGGAACCCAAACAGTCTGTCTCCATTGCCATGCTCTGACACACTGGGATGTTCTGTTGCCTTGTTTTGATGAATATTTAAAGAAGACTGTGCATGGTGCTTCTTAAAGGCATGTGTATATTATAGAAGTCTCATGGAAGATAGCTTACTCCTACACATATGTGTATAG